TCATCACCCACCATCTGGGAGTCTATAAAATATGTTGTTTCCATTTTAAGGGGCACTCCACTTACAACTTGTTTTGTTCCAGTTTTGCTTATGCTGATTAATAAACTTGTATATTACAGAACTCAATGACTTCTGAGAGTAATGATGACCATGCAGGAGACACAGCCAATGGGGTGACACAGTACTCCAGCTCATGCAACAAATTCATTAGATGAGATAGGAAGAGATTTCCAGACCCAGGGCAGGCAGGTGTCCCTGATCAGCAGGAAGTAGCTATAGAAGATAGGAAGTCTACATCCTTCAACATCCTCTTAAGATTAAGGGTCTGGAATCTCTGAGCGGGGAATAATATGGGACCTGATCAGGGAGAGAGGATTAGATCGATTAGATTCACGGGCTGGAGACCAGGCCCCATTGCCCCCTGAACGATCTCACCTGTATCCACCCACCTGTCATTCAGACCGTGTAACCGCCCTTGTGGAAATGAAGAAGAGGGGTGGGGTTGGTGGGCCTGCCCTGCTCTCCGTGTGCCTCTTGCACACTGCCTGCTTTCGCTGCTGCTGCTGCTCATCTTTCTCCTGCCCAGGCAGCTCCCCTGCGTGCCCCTGGCCTGCTTCCTGAGACTTCGCTATGGAGCTTCCCGCTTGCTCTCTCTGAGCCGCTCTCCCTTAATAAAGCCCTCACATTCCTGTGTGTTTCTCTTAAATAAATCTTAAGCCTTACCATGTTGCCTTGTCTTCTTTGTTCCTGAGCATAGAAGTTTCTCCAAGCGTAAGGCAAGAGCCTTAAGTATTAAATTTTGGCTTAAGCTAGACAATAACAGTTCTCTCCCCCCCAAACATTCACAAACACAGGGCCAGAGGCAAGAGTGGGAAAAGCTATCCAGGTGTTCCATGTGGGTGGCAAGAAACCAACTTCTTGAGTTTTCGGCTACTGCCTACAAGAGTATGCATTGGCAAGAAGACAAAGTCAGGGAATCGAACATAGAGCCTGGAACCCAACACAAGCATTCTGATGTGGGACGCAGGCGTCTTAACACTGTCCTTACTCATAGACTTTGTAATGCATAACATGCAAACCAAAACAGCATGCTTATGTGATTTCTCATTCTTGGAACATGGGACAGTTTGCTCTGACTTAAGACAGTAAGTCAGACTTTGTCCAGCAAGACCCTCCAAACATATTTGCGCGTATGAAGTTTTTTAGGAGATTCAATGATATTAGAGTGTCATCAGAAATGAAAACAAAGTTTTAATAAATGTGTCTTTTTTATTTTTACCCATTCATAAGGAAAATGTTAAAAGAAGATGTATGAAGTAAGTAACACTAGAAGTAGCTTGTTATGAGTAATTAAGATTTTGAGACTGTATTGTACATTTTTTTCATATTTTATTTTTTCAAAGATTTATTTGCTTGAAAGTCAGAGCTATAGAAAGAGAAGGAGAGACACAGAAAAAGAAGGAGAGACAGAGGGAGATCTTCCATCTTCTGTTTCACACCCCAGAGGGCCACAGTGGTCAGTGCTAGATCAGGTCAAAGCCAGGAGCCAGAAGCTTCTTCTGGGTCTCCCACATGGGCGGCAGGGGTCCAAATATTTGAGTCATCTGCAGCTGCTTTTCCCAGACCATTAGCAGGGAGCTGGATGGGGAGTGGAGCACCCAGGACATGAACTTGCACCTATATGGACTGCCTGTGTCTCAAGCAAGGCTTTAACCACTAAACCACAATGCCGGCCTCCATTGTCTTCTTATTTTTAAGTTGTATTGGTTTACATGTATAGAAATACTATTTAACTTCTTTCTCACTTAAAAATGTATGGAAGGTGATGCTGCCATATCGTTTCATCCTGTAAAATCCGACTACAGAATGTAAATCTAATCCAATTAATTTATTTGATAACGAAAACTCTATGAAGAACGTTTGAGTGGGAGTCTGAAAGGTGATAAGGCTGTAAATTCGTAGCTCTTTTTTTCACAGTGCTCCAATTCTACACAGAAATAATTAAACAGAGGCATAATGACTGCTGAAAATTGCATTAATTAGCTATAAATGATGATACTTTTAGATGGTACATTAATTGTTCTACATTTTCATTAAATTTATATTTGATCTAAATCTTCATTCTCTAACCCGGTTCTAGTTCACCTTCATGACTTTTTTATTTCTACCAATGATGTCATTTTCAAGAAAATCACTTTGTCTCTTTTTATGATCCATAGTTTTTTTACCAGCTATTTCAGAAATGGTTCCTTAACACGTCTTGTTTTTTAACATATACTATCAATCTAATCGCCATGCCTTAAAGACCACTGGATGCAATTTTTGAAAAACCATGTATCATCTTTTCCTCTGATTCCTTTTTCTTCAGCTACATTTTTATACCATTAAATACGATAAACTTATTAAATGCTACTTATTATTTTAAAGATTTATTTACTTATTTGAAGTTCAAAGTTACACAGAGAGTTGGAGAGACAGAGACAGACAGATCTTCCATCCACTGGTTGACTCCGCAGATGGCAGCAACAGCTAGCGCTGGGCCAGGCCAAAGCCAGGAGCCAGGAGGTCCCTCCAGGTCTCCCACATGGGTGGCAGGGGCACAAGCAAGTGGGCCATCCTTTGCTACCTTTCCCAGGTCATTAGCAGAGAGCTGGATCAGAAGTGGAATAGCCAGGACTAGAATTGGAGCTCATATGGGATGGCAGTATCACAGGGAGCAATTTAACTGCTACATCAAAACTCTGGGCCCTGTCTCTTTTGTAAAATTATAGATGAGTCTTTGGGCTGGTGCTGTGGCATAGTGGGCTAAGCTTTTGCCTGTGGTGCCAGCATCTCTTATGGGCACTGGTTTGTGTCCTGACTGCTCTTCTTCTGAGCCAGCTCTCAGCTATGACCTGGGAAAGCAGTAGAAGATGGCCCAAGTGCTTGGGCCCCTGCACCCATGGGGGAGATGCAGAAGCAGCTCCTAGTCCCTGGCTTTGGATTGGCCCAGCTCCGGCCATTGTGGCCATTTTGGGAGTGAACCAGGGGATGAAAGACCTTTCTCTCTGTCTCTCTTCTGTCTGTAACTGCCTCTCAAATAAATCAATAGAATCTTTTTAAAAAGTATTGATGAGTCTCTATTGTTTTAACTCCAGATTCTTTCAATGGGTTTCAGTCTTTATCGTTCTCCCCACAGTTCTGTAATAACCTACTTTCTTGCCTTCCCTATATCATCCTCATTTCCCATAATCATTTACTTTTTCCAAGCAATTTTGGTCAGTTACTTCCCTACATCTTATTCCCACTCAGCCTTCATGCCTCTCCTCATTTCATGCCCTTCATTGATACTACTTCAACACTTCTTTCCTTCTGTAAAAAATTTACTTTTTGATCCACAGCTTCTTGTTGAAGCACCATCTTATCCTACTTTTTTTTTCACTTTCACTTTTTAAGTAAACCAGCATGATTGCTGATATGATTACTCGCTGTCCACTTTGATAATGTTAACACAATGATGCTTGATGATTTGTCTTACTTTTTTATCCTACTTTTGAAGATAAAAATCTATTCAGAAATAATTATAACATAAACATTGCAGCTGCATCTTTCTAAGTTCATAATGTCTGTATTGTAACTATTGAAATGCCTTAAAAAAAACTAATTTATTTGAAAGGAAGAGTTAGAGAGAGAGAGAGAGAGAGAGAGAGAGAGAGAGAGAGACATCTTCAGTCTGCTGGCTTACTCTCCAAATGGCCAAAATGTCCAGAGCTGGCCAGGAACCAGGAGCTTCTGGGTGTCTGATGTGGGTGCGGGGCCCAAGCACTTGGCTCATGTTCCACTGCTTTCCCAGGCACATAAGCAGGGAGCTGGATCTGAAGTAGAGCAATGGGACTTGAATTGTCATATGGGTTCTCGGTGCTGTAGGTGGTGTCTTTACCTGCTGTGCCACAATGAGGCCCCACAATGCTTTTTCCAAGTGCCTCAACATTTGTGTAGTTAATAGTATAATAATGTGAAAAATAGTTTTTAAATTTTTTTCTTTATTTGAAATGCAGAGTAGCACATGCACACACACACACAGAAAGAGAGAGAGAGAGAGAGAGAGAGAGAGAGAGAGAGAGAGGTTGAGCTTCCACTTGCAATAGCTAGGACTGGGCTAGGCCAAAGCCTGGATGTTAGATCCATTCTGATCTCCCTTGTGGGTGTCAGAGAATACTTCAGCCATCACCTCCTGTTTCTCAGGGTGTCCTGAAAATTGGATCAGAAGCCAGAGACCTGAGCCCAGACATCTTAACCTCTGAGACAAATGCCCAGCCTAGCATTTTATTTTGCATATAATCTAGATACTCCATTCTGATAGTCATTCTTTTAATACACAAGAAATTCTAAGGAATAGACATCATTGAAAGGATATATGGCCTGCTTTAAATATTCAATAATGAGGGGATATAATAATTAAATTTTTCCTAAAACGGCAAATTAATTTTTTGTTCCTTGATTAATTTCACTTTACTTTTCCCATTAAATTCATTTCATCCCATCACTTTCCAAACAAAACAGAGTACCATACTGCATTTGAAGCATTATTAGAAGCAATAATAAACCATTTGGCGGCCGGCACCCCAGCTCACTAGGCTAATCCTCCGCCTGCGGTGCTGGCACACTGGGTTCTAGTCCCGGTTGGGGCGCCGGATTCTGTCCCGGTTGCCCCTCTTCCAGGCCAGCTCTCTGCTGTGGCCAGGGAGGGCAGTGGAGGATGGCCCAAGTGCTTGGGCCCTGCACCCCATGGGAGACCAGGAGAAGCACCTGGCTCCTGCCTTCGGATCAGCAGCGATGCGCCGGCCGCAGTGCACCAGCCGAGGCGGCCATTGGAGGGTGAACCAACGGCAGAGGAAGACCTTTCTCTCTCTATCTCTCTCTCTCTCTCACTGTCCACTCTGCCTGTCAAAAATAAATAAATAAATAAATAAATAAACCATTTGGCATGCATATTAAATCATTCACTGGATTCTCAAGGGTTAAAATTTAAGAGATTTATTATATTTTTAACAAGCAATGTCTACAGACAGAGCATCCACATGGTGTAAGCTACCAAAGAAAATGTGTGTGACAGACTTATACTAAATCATTAAGTCAAAGACACATTATATGGTTCATGTTCACAAGGGACAGAATTACTAAAAGTAAGCAGATTATTAAGTAGAAACATGATCTGATTTTTGTGGTTTATTAAATCTACCTCCCATAATGTTTCCTTAAGCTAAGAACAAATCTACTGTACAACACAACTCAGGATGCTATATACACATAAGATATTACACACTATAAAATTCCAGGTTTCTAAGCAGTTTTACACAATTTAAACTTGAGTAAAATTTTTATTTAAAAAAGACCTTATTGGATTACCTTCCAGAAACGGAGGTCATTTCAACAGCCCATTAACATTTTTAGCAACAATAAAAACAAAAATAAGTAAAAAGATTCTCAAAACATGTCAGCTATTATTTTAAACTTTGATAATTATCTGCTTATTTCAACAAACCAACTCACCTAGTTTTAATCTACTTCAACTGACCCTTTCTCATTTAAAATAAAAAAGAAGCATTGAGTTTAACTGCTCTGCAGTGTCTCAAATAAGAGGATTAGTTAGGTTTCAAACTACATACACCATGAAAGAGAGATCATTTAAGGATTATATAGGAGTAGAATAGAAGAAATCATTTAGGGAAACTGTTAGCCGGGATGGGCTTTGATGGGCTGCATTTCAGTAGCAGAAGCAATGCAGAAGTACATCTTAACTCACCAGTTTAAAGCTACTACTTAAGCCCTAGCTTCTATCCCCAATTCTCCGAAGCCACTATGCCTTACCAGTTCTCTAGCTGGTTTTTTCTCCCCCATGTTATTTTCCCTCTAGGTGGTTCATTCTAAGCAGACACAGGTAAATTCTTTTTCTTTTTTTGAACTGAAAATTCTGGATGATGCAATCCTAGTGCTACAACACAGGGCTGCATGAAAGGAATCTATTTTAATAACAAAGGAAACATTAGTAAGCAGTTGACATCCCAGGTAAATTTGCGTTACAAATATAATGCACTCCAGTGATTGAAATAAAATGAGTAGATAACGCATTGCGAACATTTTCACCATAATTATTTTCCCTTTCTTCCTTCACATTTGCTATAGCATGCTGCAGATCATACGGTAAACCTCAACTAGTTTGCCACCTAAAGTCAACTCATGCCTTCAAACGATATTTCATTGAGGATTAAATCAATGACTGAAAGCATGTTTTGGTGCAAGAGATATTAAATATTTTTTAATGACAAGAGTTATATACGTATGAGAGTGTTCAATGTACAGCTTTTAGCCTTCCTTTTCCTCCTGTGACATTCCCTTCAAGGCACAAAAGATTATAAACAGTGGACGGGACAAACATTTTGAATTAAGAATTTTAAGGTTTCACAACGCCTTTTGTTCCTAAGTTAAGCATACCAAAAGGACAGAGGGAAAAAAAAGATAAATTGCCCTCAAAATGAAATCATGTTTAGTCATCTGAAATTCCCTGCAGTTTGGTTATTTTTTAAAGAATTTAAAATGCTATTTTACTGGTTCTAAACATAATTGTATAGTTGAATCTTGTGATTCTCATTCATTATTGTGTTATGCATTTCTAGTCAACCAATATTATGAAGCATACATGTCTTTCTTAAAAATATTTTTTTTCAATTCAGGCCAATCAAGTAAATTATGCTTGACTAGTATAGGACCTTTGAAAGTTAAGCTGTAAATTTAAACAATGGGTTAAGTGCAATGTACTGTAAAACTCTTCACTCAGCAATCCTATCGGGCTCTTAGGCATCTCCAACCCAAACGACCGTATTTCCTTTCTCAACCTCAGTGATCTCACAGTTTAACTTATTGAGTCGTCCATCTAGGATGAAGAGAGAGTCCTTGGAAGGAGTCATCAGGTACTGACCAAACAAGCCACTGTCCTGGATCCGCCTGTTCTTCCGGCTCCAGGGCCACTCTTCTGCTCTGAGCGGTTCCTTCAGGCTCTTTATCATCTTGACTTTCCCAGAGGAGAGCTCCACAAACAGTACATCCGTTTGCGTGCTGGAACTACCGTAGATGTTGTACTGGTGGGCTTCTGTGAAGGACGGCTGGAAGGCCAGATCAGATATGTGCAGGTTGGTGTGGATATCAAAGGCCTCCTGTATTTCTCCTCTGATGGTAATGTACTGGACTCTCACAAGACCTTTGACATCATTAATGCTGACAAGGTAGTGGCCGTCTGGAGAGACATACGGAGTGCCCGTCACATCACTATTGAACCCAATGACTGAGTCGGTTACACCGTCCACCATGAGCTGCGGTGGCACTGCTCCAGTGCTGTCAGGTGTGCAACCAACAAAGTAGTACCCTCCCAAGTGTGTGTAAGCCAACGATTGAGGGACGCACTTATAGTCCTTCAAGTTAATTGTCTTGATGTAGGACATGGTTTCAAGGTCAATTTTTTGTAATGCAGCTTCATCTTTATGAAGAATAAATCCAAACCTGAAAAGATGGAAATCAAAGTTAGACAGGAAATTACAGATTCGTTACCATAAGAGAAAGCATCGTGGACAGGTAGAAAGATCCATTGTGAGCCCAGACACGAACAGCTAAGGCAGCAATTTGTGTCACAATTGTTAGGATTAATCTTTAGACTGTGCTTCCCTCCTCCTTGCTCTAGGTCATTCTCTTATTACATCCAATTATAACTCATGTTGTAGAAAGCAAAATAATTAAAAGCGATATATCTAGTTAATTGGAGCAACAGATTTTGCTTTTAACGTTAAGAATAAAAAGTAAACATTTTGCATGTCTCTAAACCCTAAGATATTGAATAACCTTAATTAACCACTGCTAAAGCCAGAAAGAATACACATTTTTAATACATGAAATATATGTATTTCACTTACTTAATTTACTTCTTGTGTTTTGATCATCAAATGAATGTGACACACATAACTGTGTAAGAGAAATTATCTATCTCTTTCTTATTTTAGCTTATATTAAAGAATTGTGTATAGATAAGTAGATATACATACAAATGCACATTTCTATATTTTTGGTATGGAACTGCTATACTTTTATTATGTTTTAGGATCACCTTTATTTCCTTCATAATGTTAATACTTATTTCATTGTAAATGTTAAAAACGAGTTCCATTTTCCAACCCCATCATGTCTATGTTGTTTCATTATTTTTGGAAAGATGTATTTATTTATGTGAAAGGCAGAGTTACAAAGAGGCAGAGGCAGAAAGAAAGATAAAGGTCTTCAATCTGCTGGTTCACTCCCCGAATGGCCACAACGGCTGGAGCTGGATTGATCTGAAGCCAGGAGCCAGGAGCTTCTTCTGGGTCTCCCATGCAGGTGCAGGGGCCCAAGGACTTGGGCCATCTTCTGCTGGTTTCCCAGGCCATAGCAGAGAGCTGGATCAGAAACACAGAAGCTGGGACTCGAACAGGCATCCATATGGGATGCCAGCACTGCAGGCGGTGGCTTTACCTGCTACATCACAGCACCGGGTCCTATTTTTTTTTTTTTTTTTTAGTGATATATCTGCTTTGCCATGGTTACCTTATATTGAACAATGGAAAACTTTGCCGTAGTTTATACCATTAAAGTCAATTAAAAAGTTTTCTTTGTCTTGTTTGGGTCTTTAATTAGTTCAGGGCTTTTCAAAGCATTTATTCTAAATATGGGCTGAAAATTATCAGAATTCCCTGTGGTAAGAACAAATAGATTTTGAAATTAGTTAACGGATACTCACCAAGAATATTTAGGTGTGTAGATATATTGACATTATTTATGAAGGCATGGACTATGATGGAAGATATCATCTCTTTTCTATTATAAATTGTACATGAGCTCAGAGAAAGCAGTAATAGGTTCATTTAATAACAGCAATAAGCCAATCAAGTTTGGCATTTCAGTTCTCCTCTTAACCTGAGACTTCTGGTCCCTTTGGGAAATGGTTTGTGAATGCTAATGAGGAGGAATGAGACAAGCTCTTGCAAGTCCTGAACTATTTTAACTCAGATTCTGAACTGTCCTGAAGCTTTGTGTGATACAGAACAGCCTCTTTAGAAGGTAATTAAAATTTTACAAAAAGATGGTCCCGTGAAAAATGCAGAAGCTCTGGGTGGGGCGATACAATTCCATCCACTGTGGCGCCCGCACCGCACTTGCCTGCAGGACTGGAGATGCATGCGAATGCCTTCAACTTTCCACCAGTGATTTATCGCTTAGGAAGTGGTATCTCTAATTCAAAATCTCCCCAGTACAGATTGATATTCCGAAGTCTCCACTGTTCATTAGGCTCTGATTAATATTTACGATGCTCTCAACGTTTTATGCCTGCTTAGTATAATAAAACCTTGCACAGGACTAGGCCTAACACAGTTTGTCTAAGATTTGTCAGCATGTGTATAGAAGTTGCAGACTGAGAGATGAGAGTTAAAACTAACTCTGCATCACTTACTCTGCTAGAACATTTTTGCCACTGGCCTGCGTGGTGTTGTTTGGAATTGCCAGATTTAGTGGGGATAATTACACTAAAGTTTTTCTCTTCTAAATCATTTTATTTTTCTGAATGTCTGATCAATTAGCTAATAATAACATTTATGAAGTATTGAACTTTACTGCATTTATGTTTCAGGTAAGTTCCTGAAAAGATTTATGCATAAACACTTGGTATTTTCAATGAAGTACAGCCTTCTGACACAGGCTAACATAGTTTCATGATCCAGTTTTCCCAAACTATAGACATTATGATCTTATATATAGTCTTTGACTTCAATGAGTATCAATTTTCTCATTAGCAGGGACAGGAGAAAAGTACATCCTTGCTTAAGGATGAGAGTAAATGCATGCATGTTACCCCAAATTTATTGTCAATAAGCAGAAAATTTCAGTTCTTTTCACCTTAAGTCACATTATTTTCCTATTATGAGCTAAAATATTTCCCATGAGATGACTGATTATTTTAACACATGATCATGAAAACAGAAGCAAATACACTGCTAATTTCTGTGTAACTAGTGTTCCCACACTACTTCAGGTGGCCATTTGATGTGCCAGTGAAGACACCACTTGGGATGTCCGGATCCTAAATCCAAGTGCCAGGGTTCACGTATTGGCATCACTACAAACTCTAGCTTCCCACCTTGGCTGGCATCAAGTGATTGGCAGAGTAGCTGCGTCCCTGATTCTCTCTGAGAAACCTGGATTAACTTGCAAGTTCCTGGCTTCAGGCTGGCTCAGCCCCAGCTACTGCAAGCACTGGAGGACTGAACTGGCACATGAAAGATCTCCCTCCTCTCTCTCTCTCTCTCTCTCTCTCTCTCTCATAAATTCAATCAATCAATAATATATATTTATATATAGTAACCCAGACTTGGCTATATTTTCCTAATCATTAATACTAGAGACAGACATTAACAATAGAAATGCATATTTTTAATTTGCTCCCACTCTTATCAACAAGATCCAGTCCCATTCACGCATCATCCAATCACCTCATTTCTCCCAATGATAGGAATACAGAATTTAGATCACACTACCTTCTTGAGAGGCACTGCTTCAGTCCACTGAGGACAGGGAGCAGTAAGTAATGGTGTATGGGGTGAAACGAACTTAATCTCAGCACACATGACAGTATTTCAAACAGTTACTGCTTTTACGCATTAATTTTAGCAGAAATCATGGTAATTTTATGGCTGACATTGAGACCTGGATATCTAATGATTTGGAGGATCGCAGTGTTTTTGTACAGGCAGTCCAGTAGCCTTGCAAAGAGCAGTATTTGACCAAGACAGGAAGAAAACAGATAGAGAAGAGCGTAATTGAAATGCCATGAAGCCTGATAAAGAATAAATTATTGGAGATCGCCATATCCTGCAAGGCCAGGCTGCTTCTGTCTTGCAACTGAATAATGTGTAATCCCCCAGTTATCTAATATTCCGTCTCTGAATGGGGCTGATTATTTAAAACAGTTTTCTGGTCACTGAACTCCACAGCATCTGCATGTTATCTCATTTCTACCCTGTTTTCAACTTTATCACCTGACAGGCTGCCAAAGGGGTATCATGATTGGAAATAATATTCCTTCTAGTTCTGACATCTTCAGAGCCAAGAGCAATGTCTTCATATGCTTCCAGATACCACAAAGGTCTGAATGATGGATGCTGTAAGACTTGTACAGTAGTGATTATTTTCTGTCCTGGAACTTAATATAGCACTGTCAGTCCTGAGTTCTCAGAGATGATCAACTAATCAGTTCTCTTTGTGTTTGACGTCAATGTCCAGTCACTGGGGCTCGACTCCCAGCTAGAGTATGGGGACGCTCTCCTTTCTCAAACGCCGTCAACTGAACCATCTCAGATGTCAGCACCAGTCTTTGCATGTATATCAGTGGGTATAAATGCAAAGTAGTGAGTGAAGATACGTGTGTCTGAGCATTGAGTAAGCCAGGTATGTCAACATCCCTGCATTCACATCTAAAACAGAAGTATTTCCAAAGTTTTTCTAATAGTCAATTATTGAGATCTTATTACTTGATATAAAATTTCTGAGCAAAAGAATTTGAGAAGCCCAAGGAACTAGTTGTATGAACTTTTTAGTTATGGAAGTCTCCATCCAAACTATATGATCAAGTGATCAGTACTTCATAAATACATGCGAACAGGATTATTAATATTTTGTTCTTCTAATCAGATTAAAAATGTATTTTCCAATTGGAAGGCAAGAAATTCTGAACAGGTAAAATACTAAAATCACAGTTCTCCCTCTGACACAATTAAAATATGAATTCATACAAACAATATGCTGTAATGATACCTTCCATGGTGTTATACCGAAAACAGATTTTTGTTCATGGACACACACCATAAGCTGACATGAGCCATCATTCACCAGTTTATGAGTTCTTTTCCATTTAGTTTTTTTTTTCCACTATTCCAGACTGATCCTTGCAAGACTGAATGCTGCTCCTACTAAAGTATTAGAAAATTTAGTATTCTCCAGAACTTCACATAAATAGCTCTGTAAAGCAAAGATGTTCAAAGAGTGGCCATATTTGGAAGAGAAGAACTGGAATGGCCACGTTTAGCAAAGCTGTATAACTAGAATGCAGACATTTTTTTGCAATATTTGTAATGCTGAGATGTCTCTGAGACGTGGAAGAGCTTTGAAGCATGTTGTTTTCAAAATTTAGTGCAGAAGAACTAAAGTAACAGATGTCATCCCACTGGATCTCTATTAGCATATTACAGAAATTTTACAATGAAACGTTTAAGCTAAATTACTTCTATCCTAGTGTTCATCGTTAGATTTCTTTTTCTTAAAAAAAGGAATAGAATATGTTTGTGAACACTAGATTCTTATTTTTTTCTTCTTCTCTGTTATCCTAATATGTAAGGTACAGATTCTTCTAGAGAAAATTTAGAAATAAATGTTTAATTTAATTGCAGTAAACTCAACATACCTAATTGCTTATCAGAATAAAC